ACAGTCCCAGTTCTGGTCTAAGTCCAGGGGTCAGTCCAGATCCAGACTTTCAAGTCCAAATTCAGGCCGGRAGGCCTCAGCAGCAGTTGAACTTCATTTGGGACTCTACTGGGACACATGCAATGCAGGGTCTGGGACAAAAGGAAGGCTGGATTGAGTCAATACAGACCCAGCGAGGAGTATAAAGKAGGCAGCCAGCCTCATTTCTGCCAGATCTCCACTGGCTGCCAATGCGTGGAAGTGCTGGTGCACTTGTGCGCTGAGTCAGGAGGAGCAGCGCTGGAGGAGAAGATGCGCTGGAGGAAGGAAGATGCCTGTATGCTGGAAGTGATGCAGCCATAGCTGCCCAGCGAGTTGGCATTAGAAGTAGAGGGTTAGTATGTAGCTATGAGTAGTATCCAGAGTAGATCCTCATGAGTATTGAAGAGTGTATATGCATCATAAGAGAAAGGGATTGAGGCTGAGAGTGTTCATTCAAGGTTGGCTATGGAAGATACTTACCTGAGTTGGATGTGATCTGCAGAGGTGGCATTGATGATTGGTGACCACATTGATGACTTGGAGACTATCTGCAGGGGTAGCACTGATTCACTGGAAGGCATATTGATGAGTTGGCAAGATATTGGTGTTGCGCTGATGAGCGCTGGACTCAGGGAAACTTTGAAACACTTTGTATTCATATTTTTGATAATATAAGCTGTGAAACTCGGTTCTCATCTTCTCTACCTTTGTCTATTATCAGACTACTGTTCGATGTGTGTGGGAGAACGATGCATGGCATGTACACACTTGCATGAGATGGTCTCCAGGACCCATGCATTTTCCTCAGGTGTGCCCTGGCGTATCGTTTCAGCCTCGACGGTGATGTTGTGTTGTTTTCGTGAAGGAGTGTTGGGGTTGTTTTCGAAAAGTCATTGGACTGGACCCGCTGAGCCTGCCACTGTGCTCAGCATTCCGCAGGTATTTGAACCGGTACCTGGACCAAGTACATTTCAATTGATGAATGTATCAGACCTCGAACAGGTCCACACACGTTTAGGATGCTGTGTAGTGGAGCAAGGCCCTAAGTGGGTGCCGAGTTCATATGAGCTCAGGGGTGTAGTGGCGTTCGAGCTCAGGGCTGTACTACCACTCGAGCTCAGGGCTGTCTACCAACAGTTGGTGGGTGTACAGCCAGCTGTGGCTTTGGGGGGCGGTTTGCTTTTTATTTTTTCACTTTTAGTTTGGGTCGTTTGCACGACCCAACTCATGTGCCATCGCCCACCTGTTCACATATGATGTCACCCAACCCACAGGGCCATTGTGTTAATTCAGTCCAAACTAGTTTATTTTTGCATATCCTTTTTATTTGTTTAGGCAAAATCCAGCTCACATATGATGACGACCTTGCCCGTGCTGTACCAGCTAGCAAGCGTGGCTGTGTGGTGTCACCCAGGCCACAAATTATAACTTGGCCCACATCGTTGTTTTGTTTTGTTTTGTTTTGTTTTGTTTTGTTTACGAAAAAAACAGTGACCTCTTCTAGAGGAGGTGATTCGAGCAGCCTCCTCTAGTAGTCGCTGCACCTGGTTGCTCCATCTATTGGTGGGGAGCTACACCTGCTGGAAACTGGGTAGAGCGTCCCTGTACAACCATGAGATTCATGAGGACTAACATAAGTGTAACCCGCCAGCATTGATTGCCCCTGATTGCCCAGGGGATTGACTGAGCGGTAGGAAGATCTGTAGCGACGGAAGTGCCTCTTCACCCTTCAAACAGGGCGCCTCTTCTAGCTTGGCATATCTAGCATCTGCCATCACTGTGTAAGTGCAAGCAGCGGTCTTGGATGCTTAAACCACCAGTACACCCGCGCCTAAAATCCCGAACCTGCCTGCCCACTGCGCGCCACTATTTTCCGAGCCTTCTGCGTGAGGGTACCTGCAGTGGGAATTTCGGAAGTGGCACTGGTGCCGTCGGTCTGCCTGAAGGGAAAAAACAAAAGAAAAGAAAAGAAAAGGAAGGAACAAACATGCCAGAGAGCAATGATGTTGTGAAAGGACGTCATGGAGGCCATACGCAAATGATCACTTTCCTGAATGTGAAACGGTTTTCACCTTTGCAGAGGCAGATGCAGATCCCGGGGTTTGATCCCCAGACCTTACCTCACCCATGTATAGTATCGAGTTGACCCTTGAGTGCTTGAACCCGTGACCTGTGTTTCATGAGTTGTTGTTTGTCTATCGTAGGACTGTGTCGACATAGGGATTCGATCTGTAGACCTGTCGAGTAGAGGTCTTAGAGAGTTCCAGAAGTCGTAGCTGTAGATGTCCCGAAGGGTCAAAGTCATAGCTGCTGCAGTCCCGAAAGGCCAAGTCCACAGACTTCCGGAAGGTCCGGAAGTGGCCTTTCGCAGCTTGCTCACGTTTTAGACTGAGGCAAGTGGGCAAATGGTGGACCAACTGCAGTACGTTCGCAGTACGATAGCGATAGGTTAGCAGTGCGTCCCCATGCAGTCAGCGGTACCGTCCAGTCAGTCCCAGTCCAGTCCAGCAAGTACCATGAGGGACTGTGTGCACCATGGGCCGATGGAAAGGGGCAGACCAACGAGTTACAGAAGTATAAATCAAGAGGCAGCGCACAGCCATTCATTCATTCCTGCGGAAGCCATGCGGAAGCGCTGCCACGGTGACTTGTGCGAGGTGGTCTGCAGAGGATCCTGAAGTCGAAGTGGGCTAGAGGGAGTTAGTGCAGCCATAGCTGCTTGTAGAGTAGAATCAGCTGGCTGCCATAGCTGCCATAGTTAGTAATAGGTGTGCATTCGTGTGTGTGCAGAGTGTGTGCGTGGGGTATCCAGGGTGATCCGGAGTTCAAGTGTGAAGTGAACAGTGGTGTTGGACACTGTGACAAGAGTTGCGATGTGTGGGTGCTGATGCACCATAGCCTGTTGAAGCGAGTTGCATCTGAACTGTGTCTTGGTTTCCATATCTTCGAGCTTTGAGTTGGTGATTCACCATCTGTTTGTATGCATGTGAAGTGACGAAGTATGCGAGTCTGATTGCACTGGTATCGGAGCTGGTACCCGCTACTCCATGCGCATCATCGTTGTAGCAGGAGAGAGACGCATGGGCACCATAGCTGAAGTGCGCCACCTTTGAAGAAGAAGTCCGCCATAGCTGCGCTGCGGAAGAAGCTGGCGCGTACCTGCACAAGAGGACAACGACGAAGAGAGAGAGAGAGAGAGAGAGAGAGAGAGAGAGAGAGAGAGAGAGAGAGAGAGAGAGGGGCTGAGCGATACAAGACTGGTTACCACGTACCTGCGCTGAAGATCGTTGTGCGGTCCAAGAGAAAGTAGCGGCCATAGCCGCGGAGCTCGGGACACGGAGGAGAGAGGGAGGTGAAGTATAGACGAGGGAGGAGACATAGACGAGGAAGAGCGAAGGAGGGAAAACGAAGGTGAAGACAGACATAGCCGTGGGTGAACAAAAAAAAAAAAAAAAAAGGAATACGGCGAAGAAAGGTGAAAGGAGGAGGAAGAAAGAAGAGGTTGGCGAGAGAGTGCCGGCAGCCATAGCCGACAGAGGGTTGACCGAGCGTTGACCAGAGGGTTGACCGGGCGTTGACCAAAGGGTTGACCAGACGTTGACCGAGAGTTGACCAAGGCGTTGACCGGAGCTGTTGACCGCGACTCTGACCAAGTTGGAGTTGGTATAATCTCGCCAAGCCCTTAGCCTATCCCCTCGCCCTATGGATGTGCACTCACCCTATGGTACTTGCTGAGTCTGAGTCTATGTGTCTCTTCTTTCTGCATTGAGTCTCTTCTGTCCAGGTGATAGGACTCCGTGTATGAAGGATAGGGCCTCGTTGACCAAACCCCTGCCGGGCTGAGTAGGGCTAAAGGTTGTGTCTGACGACTCGACTGTCCCGGAGGACACGAACCCTCCCAAGGACCGGTACTGACCGGCGGGCTGCTCGGTGTGGCACGGTAGGCCCGAAATCTGAGATGTGGGCTGCACAAAGGGCCGTCTACGTTTTGAGAGAACTTGCTGGTCGCGTCGTCCTGTCTGCGACGTTAAAGAATTCTTGAGGAGTTACGGGGGATCTCCTTAAATGCCTCCTGATCAGCAACAAGTTCTGTAGTTTAGAGTCTAGGCTAGTGCCCCTAGTTGACAGGGTCTGAACCGGAGTGAAAGCCAGGTGGGTTTGACCGCAGGTGCTGGGCATCTGGGTCTGGATTGCAAGGACTATGGTTGTGAAAGCTTCTGTTGGCCGTGGTAATCTGTCTGGAACGAAGGGTAAGATTCTGTAGTCCATAGAGAGTCAGTCAGTCTTAAGTTAAGTAGGGGGGACGTTTAAGTGGTGAGGAGTGGAACCGTTACTTGGTTGTGCATCTATCACCATGGTTGACACGCGTACCGGAAAGAGCACTTCCCCTTACACAGCTGAAGAGGAGGCAAAGGCCACCACCATCCTCAAAGAGAGAAGAGAGAAGAAGGAAGCCAAGAAAAAGGCCTTGATCGAGGAACAGGCGGCGAAGTTGAGAAAGATTGAGGAGGAGATGGCCAGAGAGAAGGAGAGGCTAAAGAAAGAAGAGGAAGAGAAGTTAAAGGCGGTGGACGAGGAGGATGAACAGGAGGTACGACTGGAAAGAAGAAGAAGGGAGCAAAGAGGGGAATCCAGTGGTACACAAATTGATCAGTTGGAGAAGAAGATTTCAGAGTGGGTGGCCAATTTGTCCCTGGGAGAAGATGAGGAAGCAATAATGTATGTGCCCAGGGAAGAACAGGAGGCGGCTATGGAGTGGGAGGCAGAAGAGGACCCACTCAAGCGACAAGTCATAGAAAATGATAAGAGGATGGAGTGGAAGTTCCGCCTAACAAGAGAAAGGAAAGCGAGAATGGAAGCAGTGAGTCAGGCGGCAAAAGAGTTGGAGGAGGTGAAAAAGCAAAGAGAGCAGATGGCGTCGAAGGACGACCTGTTGGGGAAGATGGAAATTATGGCGAGAAATATATAGAGCGTCTGACGAAGGCCTAGGAGTAGCACTATCAGTTCTCTAGAAGTCTGGATATCGCCCTGCGTTGTCGGCCCGAATACCCTTACAAGGGTATCTGGGCACATATTTGCAGCTTACAGGACGAACGCGCCTGATGATATCTGGGGGCGCGTCCCATTTGTGTTGATTAGGGAGTGTTTGAGCGTGCACTTTGTGGGCACGCGCTAGCTTGACCGAACCTTGATCGAGGAAGGCCGTGCGACGTCGGTAGAACAAGTGAGAGTTAAACTAGAATTTTTGAGGCGGTCGCAGCCTCGCGCGCACTGGCGAAGTTACAAGTGGCGTCGCGTTGACCAGGTAGGACTGCGACTAGAGAAGAATGTCGTCTGACTTGTTGAGGACCGGCGTATCAAGGTCGCACCACGTAAAGTCACGTGGGCACTAGGATGACTCTGCACCGGCGATAGTAGAAGTCGCCGCGGATGCCAAGCGAGGATGGCACAAAGTAGAGCAACGGGCGGGGTTTTCTCGGCAGGGAGGCCGAAAAAAGGCATTTGCAGTGGGCTAGGGGAAGCTCGACCCCCAGCCCTACCATGGTTGAACAGGCGCGTGTGGTAGACCAGCGGAGCCATGCCTTCAAGGCAGCCAGGTACGGCCTTACGGAGCCAAGGACGCAGGCCGTAAGAGGGAAGAACGGTCTGAGGTACCGTTTGCAGGCCCGGGCTGGCTGGCCATACTATTCATATGCAGGGCAGCGCACAGCCAACTCAAGCTGGGGCTTAGCCCTATAGGTTACGTCACTGACCTATCACCAGGCGGATCCCGGGATCGAGGCCAGTGGCGAGCACCGGAGCAGCGGAGCGGCGGAGGAGCGAGTTGGAGTGAATCGAGGGGTTGAGGGTCCCGCGGGACTATCCCCCTCGGTTTTGCTAAGGGGAGTCGGCCGCGGGCCCGTAGGAAAGGACCAAGTGCCAACGGTTCTCTCCCGCATCCGTTCTTCTTTTTTTTTTTTTTTAATCTATGAGTTTTAGAATTTTTTTTATTGTTATTTTTTTCCTATTTTTTGCGTTCCTATCTGGGACGAGGCCCGGTACCGGTGCCGGGACCTGCAGTAAAGACCAGCTACCTAGTTAAATAGAGACACCTATGAACTGTTGAAATACAGACCCATGTCCCGATCCGGATGGGGCAGCTGGCCAAGACAGTAGTCCCGACGACCATGGGTCGCTGCCCAGGAGATAGTCGTTCGGGACATCCGTTAAAATTGGGACGATGCAGAGCAGATTAGCACGGCCCCTACACAAGGCTGAGTTGCATAAGTAGAGAGGGCGAGCTCCCTCCTCGCTCGCTAATAGGAAGTGCCTTCCGAGAGGATGAGGCAGCGCACGTTAGTGGGAGAGTGGATGATAGGAGGAGAGGTGAGGGAGAATTAGAGGAGGAAGAGAGAGCGCAGGAGAGCGCTGCACGACGAGAGCAGGGACTACAATGACATAAGGATGTACCTGGACGTGGTTTCGCGCCAGGTGCATTCGGAGGAGGAGGAAGAAAACAAACGACGAAGCTGGAAGGTATGGCGGAGTGAAAGGCCACTGCGTGCTTACTTGTTGATGAAATTTGGCAGGGGGAGGTGCTAACCTGAGGTTTTGAGGCTGGGCGAACTAAGTGGTGTGGTTGGATTGAGGAAAGTAGTGGAAAGGGGGGGAGACAAGAAGAATAATGCGCGGAGGTGACGGGGTGTTGGATATGGCCGCTTGGGAAGAGGCAGATCTCGCCCGTTTCTCAACGAAAACGGGCAAGTGAAGGCTTGAAGTGGGGGGTTTGAGGCGCTGCGGACCTACTGATGGCATCAGATCCTTGGATCGGGCAACAGTTAAGCCGATACGAGCAGAAGAGATAGCGGGAGCACTAATGTCAAAATTCGAAGTGTAAGGTGGTATCTTCCCCTGTTATAGTCGAAGATTTGTTCTCGTGTTGAAATTTTGTGAGCAGCGGAGCGAGGCCAAGGGCGGAGTGTTTTGCTTGTTGTCCCGGTCATACTCTCGGTCTCAACAAGCTCCATACTGCTCATGAAGATGATGGTCGCAATTCTCAGCATTGCAGGCCACGACACTTGGTCGTACTCTAGCGAGTGACCAAGTTTCGATGCACCGCTGTGACGTGCAGGCATAAGCACGTATGCAACTACAGAAGAGAGAGAGAGAGAGAGAGAGAGAGAGAGAGAGAGAGAGAGAGAGAGAGAGAGAGAGAGTACCTACTTCGAGCCAGCAGTATGGGGTGGACCGAGAGACGAGCTACGGTGCTAGATTGAGCAATGCTGTCCGAAAGGGGACTTCCTGTGTATCTATCCCAAGTCTAGAGGCAGATTCTTTCCCGCCGTGCATATAGTGAGTAGTGGAGGGGAGTGTGAGGCTCGTAGGGGACGTCCGGGCCATCCTTACCGTGGTACAAGTCGTACTCAACGCAGTTGCCTTTGACGGCGGTGCTCGTGCTCACCCACACCGTTGGATTGCCTATAGTCATGGGTTAGCTGCTGCGGTATGAGCCCACCACCACGGGGCCCGAGCGACTCAAACTCTAGCAGCTGGTCATTTCCGCTGGCTTTTCGACTGTGGGGGGGGTTGCTGACTGTTTTGGGGTGGCTGTCACTGCAGCCTGGTCTTAGAGTAGTCGATACGTCAGGTCCAAGTAGGAGCTGCGGCACCACTTCTGAGTGTCCCCCTGCGTTGCTGCGCTGTGTATTACGGAGTTGACTGTACTTGGTTGTAAGTGACTGGTCTCGCCTTAAGGGTATTGGGCAGGTCTGCTGCTGTCTTTTCCTGCCGCCGGTATTATACTAGGGGTCTGTTGGGGCCAGCTCAGGGCTGGTTGCTGAGCTCCTACCGCTGTACTTTCTGCTGCTGGTTGTTACCGCAATCACTTGCTGTACTTTCTGCTGCTGGTTGTTACCGCAATCACTTGCTGTTGCTGGTTGTTACCGCAATCACTTGCTGTTGCTGGTTGTTACCGCAATCACTTGCGGTGCTCTCCGTTGTGCACGACACTGAACATAGGGGACTTTAGATTGGAGTTCTACCGAGCATATTGTCCAACTTCACCCGTTGGTTACTGTGCTCCGCAGCATGGCGGTGGCTGCTGTGTGCCTCCCGTTGAATATCATTACGGCTACTGTGTATCTGTTACGCCCTCTGCGGGTGGTACCACTACGCCTGCTGTGTGATACTACATTTCGAGTAGAGCAGGGGGCTGTGCTCTGTGTCGAACATTGTCCTACTAGACTGTGTAGCAGCAGGCTAGTCGGAGGGGAGAACACGGGCTGAGACACACAGCTGATTGTTGAGTTACTCACGTAATGTATACCTTACTGAGTTTCCGGGTGTTACTAAGTTTGTAAGTATGAGTGGGCATGCGTGTGTGCCTATCTGAGCGGCTGTCGACTTAGTGTGTATATGTAACGCAAGGACACTCGCTCGTTCAGAGGGGCGAGGGGCCGGTACGTACCTGTTGGCCATGATTGCTGCAAGGGATGAGGTGTCGCCATCAGGATGACGGCATAACTGCGTATCTCCGCCGAGGGGTTTTTGTTGCTGCACCCAAGCGCTGGTGGCACATACATGAAGAAGGAAGCACAACAGGTGGGCGGTGCAGCGGTGTCTTGAGGCTGCGCACGGCTGCTACGGGTGCTGCTTTCTTTCTGAGAAGCGCCGCATTTTCACTTGCACGTCGAATAGAGCACGGGGGTGGTTGTGCTGCTACTCCGGGGGTCCAAGCGGGTCGCTGCCACAGCAGATAGTTTACTGCTGCTGACGCCGTGTTGCTGAGCGAGCTATCGCTGTTCCTGCGCTGCCACGGCGGATTAAGCCTGTGCGTCCAGGTTTGGGGGGCTGCTGCAGCTACAACAGTGACGGGGGTGCTTCGGGTCGCGGACCATGCGGATGACTGAACTGCTGTTGATCGGGCTGCCACAACACACGGATTGTGGGTTGTTGTGCCGTTGAGAGGCTGCGGCGGTGCCACCTGGCTGGGCACCTGCATTCTGCTGATGGATCTCGCTGTGCACCCTGTCATGCGCTAGCTGCGTATGACTGTGGGCTCAGGGGAGTTAGCGGACACAGCGCAGGGGGCTGTGTACGGACTACGGCTACGTACTGCTGCGGCTTCTGCTGGGTGCTACGGGCTGTGGGAAGCAGCTGCTGCTGTCTTGACTGTGCACAACTGCTGCTTATGGCTGTGCACAAGCTGTGACCAACAGCTGGCGGCTGCAGGCTGCTGCTGCTGCCTGCTGTTGACTGCTGCGTGATACCACCTACTGCCGTCGGCCGTTACCACCTATTGCGGCTTGCTGGGCAGCGGCAATTGGGCTAAGGAGGAGTTCTGGGGCTCAAAGGGGCGATAGAGCTTGGGAAGGGTGGATGAAGCCGTGATCTAACGGGCCGGCAGAGGGTTGACCCTGACAGCGTGACTTCAAGAGTTGACCAAGTTACCACTACTTGGCCATCATTGCGGGGCCCTCAGGCGCATCTAGATTTCAAGGCCCTCTCATTGTGAGTTGAGCGCACCTCTCTTGTATCTGAGAGTCTGAACTTTCTTTCGCTGCCCTTCTCAGTCTAAGTCTAGTCCTTTGGTTACGAGAGGAAGGCGGCAGGCGGGATTGCAACCCGTAGGCCCGCATCAGGACCTTGTGGGAGGTCCACCCATCGATTGGGGGAGCTCTGCCGGAGCCCAGGCGGGGTTCTGGAGGCAGGGAACTTCAGGTATATTTTCGCTTGACGCGTGTGGTCCCTTCCCCTACCTATTATCCCCTGGGTATCTGAATAATATTATGGTAGGATACTACTTTTGTTTTGCTATGTATGTCAGGACATGCATTGTGGAAAGGTAAATGAACAAGTATGTGAGAGTTCAGATAAATCTTG